AACGCTGCTAAACTTTCCAAACCAGGCCCTAGGAGACTGTTGGTGGAGGAGGAGGGGCTAATGGTGGATGGTCCTCAACATAAGGATCAATGAGAACAGGAATGGGAACTGTAGCAGATGGAGACTCAGCAGGTAGGGAAGGGTCCTTAAAGTAAAAGGAAAACTCATTGAAGGTGACATCGGCAGACACAAAATAGCGATTAAGAGAAGGAGAAAAACACTTGTATCCTTTTTGGGATCGAGTAAATCCTAAGAAAACACATTTGTGTGATCGAGGAGATAACTTATCATGACCAGGATCAAAATTGTGGACAAAACAGGTAGACCAAAAAACCTTCAGAGGTAAAGGATGGAGAGTGTCATGAGGAAATAAAATAGAATGGGGAATTTTGTTATCTAAAACCGAAGAGGGCATACGATTAATAAGATAACGAGCAGTAAGAACAGACATCACCCCAAAAATGTTGAGGAACCTCACCATGAATTAAAAGAGTACGGGTTGTTTCAATAAGGTGTCTATTCTTGCGCTCGACCACCCCATTTTGTTGAGGGGTATAAGCACAGGAAGTTTGATGAAGAATGCCATGAGAAGCCATAAATTGTTTAAACGAGTTTGAAAGATATTCACGGCCATTATCACTTCGAAAAGTTTGAATAGAGACACCAAATTGATTTTTAATTTCATGATAAAAGTTTTGGAATATAGAAAACAACTCGGAACGATTTTTCATTAAAAATAACCAAGTACAACGAGAGAAATCATCAATAAAAGTAACAAAATATTGAAAACCTAAATTAGACTTAACACGACTGGGTCCCCAAATGTCGAGTGAACTAAGGCAAAGAGGGATGAAGCACGCTGGGAAACACTACGAGAAAAGGAAGTACGACTATGTTTGCTTAACCGACAGGACTCACACACCAAATTGGACAACTCGGGATAAGGCTGGGAACAAGTTGCTGTAATTTGCGCAGACCGGGGTGACCAAGCTGAGCATGAAGGAGAGAAGGAGACTCCATAAGCGTGCCAACATGTGGAGAAGGTTGAAGATAATAAAGTCCATGTGACTCACATCCAGGTGCCAATCACTCTTTGCGAGCTCCGGTTCCGTAGGGAAACGAAGTTTTGGTAAAAGAGATAACACAATCAAGAGATCGAGTTAGACTGGCTAATGGATAATAAGTTAAAGGGGGACCGGGTACATACAAAACATTATCAATGGACAACGAGAGAAAAAGAGTAACCGTTCCAACACCATGAGCTAAAGTTGTAGACCCATTAGCCATTGTAACGAGAGGGTAAATTATGAGAAGAAGTGAAAAAGGAAAATAAGGATTTGTTACCAGGTGATGTGATCGGTGGCGCTCGAGTCAAGAACCCAAGGGCCAATAGAAGAAGAGTGAGTCGGACCAAGCAAAAGATGTACCTGTGTGGGCAACGAAGTAGTGGAACCGGAGGGCTTTCGATCCTCATACCATTGAAGAAAATCATTGAAGATAGCGGATTTGTCCGAAGGTACGAGACGAAGGAGGATCCACGGCAGAGGATTGTGCGGAAGAATCGGTCCGAGCAAGCTGCAGCAGATCGGCGAGGATAACCATGTAAAGCATAACATTTGTCAATTTTGTGGCCTAGTTTGCCACAATGGTCACACTTGACATGCCCTTTGCCCGGCTTGTGAGAGCGATTACGATCATCACGGTGAGAGGCCAAGGCGGATGAATCATTAGAAACTACGGGGGAATATTGAGAGGTTTACATGGCACCCGCAAAAGGGAGGAACTGGTAGCGGTAAAGCCGGGTGTAACAGGGGAACCCAAAATGCGGTCACGAACGAGGGCATATTTATCGGCAAGTCCGTGTAACATCAAAACCATGAAAAACTTTGATCGTTGCTCTAATTCTTGGGCAGGAGTCGAGGCGGGGGTAATAACTCATTAAATTCATGGAGAAGAGCATGGATCTTACCCACATAATCCGCCACAGGATCCTTATCTCGAGGAGCAATAACATCAAGAAGATTGTAACAAACACCATAAAGACGTTGAGTGTCATTGGTGTATAATAATTTGGCTTGTTCCCAAACGTCATAACATGTGCCATACGATCGAAAAATTTGTTTTAAAGAAGATTGGATGGTATTCTTGAGAACCATACATATATGAGCATCAACTTTCTTCCAACGGACACGATCATTGGAAGGAACATCATCTACCTTGGTAGTAAGATGATCAACATACCCCGACTCTCAAGCCAAAGTCTAATATCGGATGCCCAAGTTGCATAATTCGTACCATCTAATTTATCAATGGGTAAATTCACATTGACATAATTAGTAAAAACAGATTGCTCGGACCTACCGGAGCCGACGGAGGTAACTTCGAGATTGGAAGTGGCGGCGGAAGATGCCATGGAGGAAGAGAGAGAAAAACCCTAAAACACCAAAGAGGTCCGATTGGAGCAGCGAGGACAGATCCAGAGAGAGGAGAAGGAGGCGACGCCGGCGCAAAGATCGGCGGCCTGAACGGCGGCGAGACGCGCCGCCACGCGCGGCAGAACAGGAGAAGGTGGCGCGGCTTCGGGAGGCGCGTGAGGGAGCGTGGCTGCTCCGATGACCGCAAAACTTCCACGGTGGAGGTCGCACGGAGGAGGCAAGCAAAACCCTGTGCTCGGTGGTCCGAACTGCTACTCTGGTGACGGCGGCGGCGGCAGCGGCGGACGGCGGTGGCGACGGCGGCGGCGATGGAGGCGGCGACAGCTGCAGGTTCAGTGGCAGAGCCGAAAAAAAATCCCAAGAGACCTTAAGCTCTTGATACCATGTTGAATATAGGGAAAAACTGTATAGGGTTAATTTCTCTTATGTATTTACCACACATAGGGCAGTGTATTTATAATAAAGAAAGGTACTCCTCAAAAGAGTAACAGAATACAAATAGAGTAAATAAAAAGATATTATTTGATATTGTGATTAATAATATCTAACAATATCTCAACAATATCAAACAATATCAACTAATATCTAATCATATCTTACAATAGTAATCATCATTATGATGACTACTATAGTTTTCTAAATGGGAGTGAGGTTCCTCATGTTTTTCATTTCTTCTCCTAGAATCCTCACTTTAATTTTTTTTTTGTTTTTATCTTCTAGTAATTGGGCCAACATAGCCCTTATTTCTTTGTCATTTTGTTCAAGAAAGTTTTTCACAAAAATTTGAGAAAATTGTTTTTACAAACGGTTATCTTGTCTTAAGAGAAACAGGGAAAAACACAACGGTTATCTTGTCTTAAGAGCTTTGAGATGCAAATAATCAAAACACAAGAAAAACTTACACAAGGAATGGACACAATCAAATGTTTGACAAAACTTAAGAAATCCAAAATAAAAAACAAGCAAGAAAATTTGACAAATTTTAAAAATAGGCACTCAAAAGAAGCCTAAGAATGGATCTAGAATGGATTATAAAAATGAAAGACTCAAGTTGAATCACTTATAAGACCCAATTTAAGCTTGGCTTAGCCTCTTCTAATACATGCAATTTTTAATTCCACTATTCTCTTAAGGAGTGTGGGACTTAATCAAGAGTTGCAAACATATTTTTCAAACTTCATTTTGACTAAGTCTTGACTTTTCTCTTTTAATTTCTTTTCTTTTCAACTTCACAATTTCAATTGTTTTTGTTCTTATGAGATTTGGCCTTTTTTTTTTTTGCCCTAATTCAATTTCAATTCAAATTGCATGGTATTATTTTCACATAAGTTCGAACATTGTCATGACATATTATCAACAATTGATTCAACTTGCAAAATTCAAAAGAAGTCTAAACTAGTCTCGGTTTGTACAAGAATGCACCTTGTCCATCTATTCTACCTCTTATTACTTACCAACACATAACCCAAGTGACTAGTCCAATGCTTCAAGATAAGCCCCTTCATCAGGTACTTCTCAATCATCACCCTATTCCACAATTCCTGATAATGATGATTCAACTTGGCCCATCGCCCTTTGTAAAGGTTCTCGTATTACTCGTAATCCACATCCTATCTATAATTTTCTTAGTTATTACATATTGTTTCCCTCTTATTGCTCTTTTATATCCTTTGTCTCTTCTATTACTATTCCTAAAAAGGTGAATAAAACACTTGATCATCCTGGATGGCGACAAGTCATGGTTATAGAAATGTAGGCTGTTGATCATAATAATATATGGGAATTAGTTCCCCTTCCAGCAGGGAAGAAGACAGTTGGATGTCGATGAATTTATAATATTAAAGTTGGTCCCAATGATGAAATGGACCGTTCCAATGCCCGATTGTTTTCAAAAAGATATAGTAAGATCTATGACCTTGATTACAGTGATTGGATCATTGTTGAACCACCCCTAATATTCAGTTTCACGCTCTCAAAATATTCATTTCTTAGCGTGAGAGGATTTGTTGGAGATTCCACGTAGACTCTCTATGACTAAGATATAATATATTATTGAGGTGCAAACTTTATCTTTTAAGTAAGTTTTGCGGGATTGAGTGTGATTAACATATAATATATTTAATTATGCTTTTTGTCCTTGAAACTTGGGGTTTTCTATTATTTTGGTCTCCCAAATTTAAAATAACATGTTTTAGTCATTCAAAATTGAATAACACAGTTTTAGTCTCTAAATACTAAATTTAAGGGATTAAAATGAGTGTTTTAGGATTTAAGACTTAAGGCTTAAAGTTTAGGTTCAAAATTTAGCATATTTTAGTGCTCAAATGTAGATTTTATGGACTAAAACCATTTTTTTTTCTCAATTTTGATAGACTAGAATATCTGTTTTAAATTTGGGATCAAAACTAGAATTACTCCAAATTTCAAGAACTAAAATGTTAATTAAACCTATAATCTATTTTCCTGATAATTGTTTCCTTAGCTGAAGTTCTATCAAGTAATGTTACTATTTTACCTTTTGACAGGCATGACATATTGTTCTTTTGGGTTGCAAGAATGGTGATGATGGGGATTGAATTCACTGGGACTGTTCCATTTTCTTATGTTTATTTGCACGGACTCATCAGGGATTCACAGGTGATTTCAAGTTATATGTGATTTGGGTTCCAATTTCCTACCCTCCACAATTTTCTTCACCTCCCATGTATTCTGGATTGGACTTTTTGGAATGTATTCTTTACGTTTGGGGAAGGCTATTCCAGAATGTATGTTAGGTGCTGCAAGACAATTGTAGGTGTAGAGAAAGAAGCACTCTATATTTTGTAGTTGCTAAGGTGTTTACTAAACTGCTTTCCTTGTTTCATGATTCTGAATCTATTTCATTGTAAGTCGTGTTCTTCCATTTTGCTTTTGAATATGCAAAACTTAGTCGGAAACTTGACATCTCAAGACTTTTGCTATGTATCTTCATTTTGACTTATTCTCTTGGTTAATTCAGAAGTTTTTCACTTAGGTGTAATAAGTGAAAAAAATGTTTGACGTCTGTTAATTGTATTAGAATCTTTATCCTCTACAATTCTACAAGAATCTTTATCAGTTAATTCGGTTTTAAACTTATAAACTTCAGGTGTATTAAATCTTACCTTTTACAATTTTGATTTAGGGTTTTATACTTGTATTGCTAATATACACTGCTTCAAACCTATTTATGTCTGTAAACGGATTGTGTAACAATTGTATTATTTTTAGGGGAGAAAAATGTCTAAAACATTGGGAAATGTCGTCGACCCCCTTGACACCATCAAAGAATTTGGGACAGATGCTTTACGTTTCACACTAGCTTTAGGCACAGCTGGCCAGGTTAGTTTTACTGTATTCTAATTGTTGACCAATGTTTATTCCTTGAAGAAGTTGATTATCTTAAGACACAGATGGGGTGCTGTTTTTCTCTTCTAGGACCTTAATTTGTCGACTGAGCGGTTGACCTCCAATAAAGGCTTCACAAACAAATTGTGGAATGCTGGAAAATTTATATTGCAGAACCTGCCTAATGAGAATGATACTTCTGCCTGGGAACAAATATTGTCATATAAGGTAGAGACAATCTTAGCATCCAAGAGTTAGACGTCTACCCCCTCCCCTCCTTTTTATGAGCTGTTTCAGAGGACACTTTGTAAATCCCCTGTTTCTTATTTCATTTCTTTATCAAAAAATAAAAAAAATATGTTTTACCTTTTCTCTTTAGATAAAAGAAGAGATTAATTAAGATAGAGGGGGTTTAGGGTTTAGAGGAAATTATAAAAGGAAAGGAAGATAAGGAATTGTGCATAACAGAAAAGAAAAAGAGAAGGGAAAATTGAATGTAAAATCAACTAGTTGCATCAAAAAGTGCAGCATATGTTGCACATCGTAACAAAAGGTCTTCTACCTAAAATAAAGAATTTAATTAGGGACCCCGACATTTAACATAAATAAATTTTGAATAAGGAATTCCAAGTCTGAAGCACAGCAGTGTAAGAACAGGTATGTGGTTGGTTCTGAGCATTCACTAGGTTCAGTAGTAAATACTTAAGAACTGAACTCAGTTGCTGAAAAGCTTGAGGAGAAATAGTCCTCAGGCCCTTTAAATCAGGAATCAGTACAAAGGGAGAGATTCCCTTGTTATAGAGATGATGCAATCTAACATTAAATGAAAAGATAAAAACGATAATACTGTAAAAATAATACTAAATCAAATATAAATTACTTTCAACAAATCTTCAAATCTCAACACTTCCCTTTAAGTTTGAGTGTAGACATCATAAGCATCCATCTTGGAACAATTATACGATGTCCTTAGTCCTTTAAGCAACTTAGTAAAGATATTAGCTAAATAGATATTATGAGAAACAATCTTTTCGTGGATAAAATTACAATCAATTTCAATATGTTTAATCCTCTCCTAGAAAATCATGCTATGTGTAGGGGTGCTTGGTTGCCATTAATAAGTGTCATGGTTCCAATTTTACCTTGGGATTTCTTTATGTAGAGATTTCTTTATTTTAAATACCTTGGGATTCAACCACACGTTCCCAATTATCTTTATATAGAGAATTAAGGAATTGACTCATGATGCATGCCGTGAAGGATTAGTCAAGTTTAGTTATGGTAAGGTAATTCAGCATATCGACAAGTTTGTCTGGGCCTCAAGAAAAGGGGCTTTCAGAAAAAAAAAACAATTGTAATTCTTCTTCTCTGTTTTCTATTCCTATAATCAAGAAGTCTTGAAGTTCTTTCTTTCATAGAATTTCCTGCAATTTTCGATTATTTGAACTCCATAGTTCCTAGCATCTTGTGTTTTTAGTGGTGGCCCAACTAAGCCTAATCCTTTAAAGGATAACTCTAAACCTTTATTATCCAACAAACTTGTTTCTACTAGGGAAATGCTGGTGAATTCCACAAAAAAAAAAGGTGAGGACAAATTTAACACCTGCTTATATGAACGAAAGAAGGACTAAAGGCTTATGGTATTTTTGTGATGAACCTTTCACTTATGAGCATAGCTTAACTAATAAGAAAATTCATTTACACATGGTGGAAGGGCAAGAGGATGAAGAGACATTTAAACCATTTCCAACTAGAGACATTGACAACTAGCAACTTTGGTGCACCACACATTTTTGTTAGTGCACTCACAAGGATTATAGGCTTTAGGAGCAGGAGTCATTGGTAGTTACAACAAGAAAACTTTGCATATACTCATTGATAGTTGCAATACACATAGTTTCTTAGATATTCACGTAGCTGAAAAGTTAGGGTGTAAAATAAAAGATTTAAATCCTTTACAAGTTACAATGGTAGATGGAAATAAGCTAAAGATTAAAGCCATGGTGAAAAATTTTAATTGGATTCTACAATAAAACAATTTTCAAGCCAATATGACATTGATTCTGTTGAGATATGTCATGACTTGAGAAAACTTATTTAAGGCTTGATACAGTGACTTACATTATATTTATAGAAAAGGAGATGCAATAGAGAGGATATGGACCTCAATTCAAACCCTTAACCCTATTCTAAGGAACATACAAAGAGAATACAAAGAGATAGATGAACAACATATCTCAACACTCCCCCTCAAGCTGGAGCATATAGATTGTATGCACCAAGCTTGAAACAAATGAATTGAACCCTAGGTCCTCTCAAGGATTTAGTTAAAATATTCACCAGTTGCTCATTGGAGCTTACAATTCAGTTACAAGTTTATTAGACAATAACTTCTCTCTAACAAAATGACAATCAATCTCAATATGCTTTGTTCTTTTATGAAACACTGGGTTGGAGACAATATAGAGAGCTACCTGATTATCACAAAACAACTTCTTCTGTCCATTATCACAGAATTTTAAATCTTGAAAGAGTTGTTTGATCCACACAAGTTCAGATGTAGCAAGTGCCATAGATCTATGTTGAACTTCTGCATTAGATCGAGCAACAACACTTTGCTTTTTACTCTTCCAAGAAATCAAACTCTCTCCAAGAAAGATACAATACACAATAGTAGATCTTCTATCAGTGTGACAACCAGCCTAGTCTATATCACAATAATCTAGAATTTGAGTATTACCTTTATCTTCATATAACAATCCTTATCCTAGGACCCCTTTAACATATCTCATAATGCGAATCAAGGCATCCCAATGATAGATAAATGAGTTTACCAACCAATCTCCTATATTTTTTTGGATTTGACAACTTTTCTCTTTTATCCTTCATCAATTTTTGGTTAGCGTCCATTGGGGTATCAATGGATACAATTTGTTAGACTAGTCTCTTTTAGAATATCAAGAAGATACTTCCTTTGATAAATGATCACACCTTCCTTTAACTGGGCCACTTCAATACCAAGAAAATACTTCAATTGACCAAGATCATTGGTTTGGAAGTAAGTAAATAAATGATTCTTCAGTTGGCTGATCTTAGTAATCATTGCCTATAATAACAACATCATCAACATAAATCATAAGATACACACTTGCCTGAAGAGGAATGACAATAAAATATTGAGTGATCTGTTTCACTCCTTTTCAAGCCAAACAACTGCACAACATGACTAAATTTCTCAAAACAAGTTCGAGGTGACTGCTTCAAGCCATAAAGAGATCGGTGTATCTTACACACTAAACCAGACTCCCCCTAAGCAATAAATTCAGGAGGTTGCTCGATATAAATCTCTTCCTCAAGATTACCATGAAAAAATGCATTTTTAATGTTTAGTTGGTGAAGGGACCAATGACAAATAGCAGCCATAACAAGGTAAAGACAAATAGTGGAAATCTTAGCTACTGGAGAGAAGGTGTCATAGTAGTGAATGCCATAAATTTGAGTGAAGCCTTTAGCTACTAAACGAGCTTTGAGACGATCCACTTTACCATTATTATCAACTTTAACTGCATAGACTCATCTACAACCCACAACCTTTTTGCTAGGAGGAAGAGGGACAAGCTCCCAAGTGCCATTATGCTCAAGAGCATGCATTTGATCGATCATGGCTTATCGCCATCCAGGGTGATCAAGTGTCTCATGGACATTATTAGGAAATGAAACATCAGCCAAAAAAACAACAAAAGAAGAATATGAATGAGACAGACGATGGTAATTTAAAATAAATATAAATAGGAAAGAGATTCTGAATGGAATAAGTACCTTTTCTAAGTACAATAGGCCATCCAAAATCAGAAGTGGGGAGATAAGGTTGAAGGATCCATGGTATGAGAAGCTGATGGAGAAACATCTGAATCACGATTATTTGTAGGAACTGGTAAAGGTGTAAGAGGGGTCCTGTGGTGATATGTGAGAAGAGAAGGAGAATCATTGTGACCTGTACACTGAATTGGGGATGGATAAGGAATTATAAGTGGCATAAAGGTATAGGCAGAACTAGCTGAATGGATAAACCATCTTCCATGGGGGAAGAAAAGAAGGGTGTTTCCTCAAAGGTGACATCAACAAACATATAATACTTTTTGGAGGATGGAGAATAAAATTTATACCCTTTCTAAAGGCGAGAGTATCCCAAGAAAACACATTTAATGACCTTGACACGTAGTTTATCAAGACCTGGAGAAACATTATGAACAAAACAGGTACAACCAAATATATGATAAAGAGGATCACCTTGGCAGATAAGAGTACATGAGATTTGATTTTTAAGAGAGGAAGACCGCATCTGATTAATATAAGAACAAGAAGTGGGCACTGCATCTCCCTAATGATGAACAAAGACATTAGCATTCAACATCCTAACGATGAACAGGGGATTAACATTCAACATTAGATAGTGTGCAGTCTCAATAAGGTGTCTATTTTTCCTTTCTACAATGTCATGTTGCTGTGGGGTGTGAGGACAAGTTCATTAATGTAAAATTCCTTGGGAAGATAAAAAAGAAGAGAAGGAGACAAAGACATATTCTTTGGTATTATCACTTATGAGAACATTAAATATTTTCCTAAATTGATTTTTAATTTCTTTGGAAAAGGACACAAAAATAGATAAAAGTTCAGATCTATCTTTCATTAAATAAACCCAAGCACATCTGGAAAATTCGTCAATAAAGATCATAAAACACTGAAAGCCAAAAGAGGAAACACAACTCTTCCCAAAGATCAGAATGAATATTTGAAAAAGGAAAATTTCAAGTTTCAGACTATTGGAGATTAGCACTATCAATTAAAATAATTCAATTATAATAGGATTTAATGATAATATAATCAATTTTATTTCGTTATTTATGCACAGTTATGTACAACATTTATAGGGATAATATTTCCCTGATTTTCAGGAATATATTAGTGTATAAGTTTAATACCTTATATTCTATTTATACCTCCTTTGTATCTTTTTTAAAATAAGAAATACACAACGTATTTTTCGCATAGACTATTTAGAAAAAGTAGATCTAACAAGTTTTCTTAATTGACAAGATTCACACTCTAAAACCCGAAAATGTTGAAGATTATGAGTCATCACTTTCAACTTAGATAGACTTGGGTGACCCAGACAATCATGCAAAAGTTTAGGGACAGGAGAAACCACACAAGACATCAAAGGACTTGGATTCAGATAGTACATACCACGTGATTCG